AAATAATGAAATTATTCAAAAACTACCAGGAAATTCTAAGATCTATTTTAGCGCTGATTCTATACAAACAGATAATCCTGAGGATTTACTTAATTTCCCCATTGAATTTCTTCATTCTCAAACCCCATCAGGAATGCCTCCTCATATTTTAAATCTTAAAGTTGGGACAATAATAATGCTTCTTCGTAACATGAATCCCAGCAGAGGCTTATGCAATGGGACACGACTTCTTATCAAAAATTTACATGATAATTTCATAGATTCTGAAATATTATCAGGAACGCATAATGGCCATCGCGTTTTTATTCCTCGAATTGATCTTTCCCCGAGCGATTCCCGGTTGCCTTTCATATTAAAAAGACGCCAATTTCCTATAATTCCTGCTTTTGTTATCACTATAAACAAAAGTCAAGGTCAAACATTCGACAATGTCGGCCTCTTTCTTCCTGAACCTGTGTTTTTCCATGGTCAGCTCTATGTCGCTCTAACACGTTGCAGATTTTAAAAAAATATGAAAATAAAAATATTACCTACAAAATACCAGGGCACACTTTTGAATGATAATAGAGTATTTACTCTTAATGTCGTATATCAGGACATATTAAATTCTGTCGCTACAAATTAATAACTATACCACATTGAGCAATACCATCAAAGATCCGATACCATTATCAGTAAATTCTATTTTATACTTTCAATTTACACAATATATTTACAGCAAACTACAATCAACAAAATTTTAGGGCAAGCGCTACAACCATGGAAATCAAAAAAAGAATCGTATTGAGCAAAATCATCAAAGATCCGATACCATTATCAGTAAATTCTATTTTATACTTTCAATTTACACAATATATTTACAGCAAACTACAATCAACAAAATTTTAAGGCAAGCGCTACAACCATGGAAATTAAAAAAAAGAATCGTATTGAGCAAAATCATCAAAGATCCGATACCATTATCAGTAAATTCTATTTTATACTTTCAATTTACACAATATATTTACAGCAAACTACAATCAACAAAATTTTAAGGCAAGCGCTACAACCATGGAAATTAAAAAAAGAATCGTATTGAGCAAAATCATCAAAGATCCGATACCATTATCAGTAAATTCTATTTTATACTTTCAATTTACACAATATATTTACAGCAAACTACAATCAACAAAATTTTAAGGCAAGCGCTACAACCATGGGAATTAAAAAAAAGAATCGTATTGAACAAAATCATCAAAGATCCGATCCCATTATCAGTAAATTCTATTTAATACTTTCAATTTACACAATATATTTACAGCAAACTACAATCAACAAAATTTTAGGGCAAGCGCTACAACCATGGAAATTAAAAAAAAGAATAGTATTGAGCAAAATCATCAAAGATCCGATACCATTATCAGTAAATTCTATTTTATACTTTCAATTTACACAATATATTTACAGCAAACTACAATCAACAAAATTTTAGGGCAAGCGCTACAACCATGGAAATTAAAAAAAAAGAATCGTATTGAGCAAAATCATCAAAGATCCGATACCATTATCAGTAAATTCTATTTTATACTTTCAATTTACACAATATATTTACAGCAAACTACAATCAACAAAATTTTAGGGCAAGCGCTACAACCATGGAAATTAAAAAAAACGAACCACATCGAGCAAAACCATCGATATTCCAGACGAATGCTTAAAAATCTAACATCCCTCTCATTTTGAAATATCTTTAATCTCATTTTTAGTAAAATTTTTGATATTATAAAATTTACTATATTATATTTTTTATCTGGTTACAAATGCATATGTGTTGGAACCCAATAATCGTGAAGTCTTGAGGTATATATAATTATTATTATATATTTTCTTATAATTCATATCTTTGTCTCTTTTTTTCTATTTCTTCCTTCTTTTTTTCATTTCTTTGCTCTCCTAAAATCCATTTCCTACCTTCACGCGGTGGGGAGTGAACAAAAATGCTGACTAACAGGAGCTCTGGTAGATAATACTGGTATTTGTGGTGTCAAGTTTACATATCTGGCACCATTAATATCCATAATCCTTTCAAATGAGATAACTCTAATTCCCCGTCATTCTTGGCGGGTTATTAGCTAGTATCTATATATTATTCAATAGAATTATAAAAAAAATTGTTCAGGGAGAAATTAAAAAAATTTATTTTTAGTTCAAGGGGATATTAAGGAGTCATTAAAAAAAATTTTTGCTTCAGAAGGCTATTCAAATTCTTTAGGAGGCTCGAATCCCTGCGCGCCTTCCCCCCCCCCTAGCGACGTCACTGATTAAATATTATTTTTTTATCTAACTTTCTGTGTTCATCGTAAACTTCATAATCCTTCTAAAGTAAACTTTACATACTAATAAAATATCATACACTATTTAGATATTACCTATAAAATGGAAGTATAAAAGCTAAAGGTTTTGAATAGCGGGAAGAGGAAAAAAATGATTCCTAGAAAATTCTTTAAAATTTATCTAAAAATTTTTTTTAAAATACATTTTGACACCTAGAACCCTCCACTTTTAAAAAAGTCAGGGTTTGGGTTCAGTCAATGTACCAAGGTTCAGGACCAGGGTTGCCATGTAAAAATTTTCAAAGCAATTTATATTAACGCATTGAGATAAAAACCAGAGGCTTAGACTGAATTATGAGTGAAAACTTCTATATTAAGAGTTCTATTAGAAAAGTAAAATAATATTTCACTAAAAGCCTCAAAGTTCTCATAAATTATGCGAGCTGTTTCTAAATGACCAGTCTACCTCTGGTCTAAAAGTCGAGTATGACCTGTATATTTATAGGATACGTTAAGACGCCTAAAAAATTATACAATGCATTGGATAGATTAAAAAATTTGAAATAATAACAATATTATTATACCAATTTTGAACCACAAGATCAGGGTTGCCAGGTCAAAATTTTCAAATTGCGGGAGATAATTGGTATTATGCTGGGCCTTCGCCGGGATTTTGAATTGACTTAATTATCCGCCTATTATTTATAACTAGTTGATAACCCGTCAAAAATGACGGGGATGAGAATTTTATTCGTTCTTTTACGATAATTCTTTTTACCCCTCCCCCTCCTCCTTCAGGCCAATTCCAACCCATTAAGACTAAGAGTGATGAAATGTCTTTTTTATTCAATGATTGATGAATAATATATTTTACCTTTATTTGATGATGGATGAATCAGAAATTTTCCTATTTTATGAGATGTGATTTCGAAATTTATATTTTAAATTACAAAAGTGAATAAAAATGAAAAAATATCTCATATTAGCATCACACTGATCACCCGTCAAGAATGACGGGGAATTATAATTTGAGATGTGATTTATAAATTTATATTTAAAATTACAAAAATGAAACAATATCTCTTATTAGCACCCTAAATACTAACATTATTTACCAGAGCTCCTGTTAGTCAGAATTGCTGTTCACTCCCCACCGCGTGAAGGTAGGAGATGGATTTTAGGGGAGCAAAGAAATGAAAAAAAGAATGAAAAACAGAAGGAAGAAATAGAAAAAAAGAGACAAAGATATGAATTATAAGAAAATATAATAAATATTTATACTTCAAGAGTTTATGATTATCGGGTTACAACACATATGCATTTGTAGCCATATAAAAAATATAATATAATAAATTTTATAATATAATAAATTTTATAATATAGAAAATTTTACCTAAAAAAGGAGATTTAAAATATTTTCAAAATTGAGAGGGGTGTAAGAATTTTAAGCATTAGTCGGGTATATCACCGTATCTTGACTTTTATTTATTAATGTTTTGCCATGGCTCGTAGTTTGCCTTAAATATCCTAAAATAAAACGTGTAAATTGTAATTATAAAGTAGAATTTACTGTTGTTGGTGAGGAAAATGGTTTAGCGATGATGAAGAAGTTCTCTTTTCTTTGCTCAATGTGGTTTCGTTTTTGAAGATGATGTTGTAATTTCCTTGCTCGTAGTTTGCCGTAAATAACCTGAAAAAAAAACTTGTAAATTGAAATTATAAAATAGAATTTACTGTTGTTGGTGAGGAAGATGGTTTAGCGATGGTGAAGAAGTTCTCTTTTCTTTGCTCAATGTGGTTTCTTTTTTGAAGATGATGTTGTAATTTCCTTGCTCGTAGTTTGCTGTAAATAACCTGAAATAAAACGTGTAAATTGAAATTATAAAATAGAATTTAATGTTGTTGGTGAGGAAGATGGTTTAGCGATGGTGAAGAAGTTCTCTTTTCTTTGCTCAATGTGGTATCGTTTTTGAAGATGATGTTGTAATTTCCTTGCTATGAGGTGGCATACCAGATGGAGTTTGTGAATGCAAAAATTCTATTGGAAAATTCATTATATCATCCTTATTATCGCTTTCAATGGAATCTGCACTATAATAATGTTTGATAGGGCCTGAAATTATATTAATGATATCGTTGTTGAGGGTAAGTGCATTTTTATTTTTGGTGGTTAATATTATTTTAGTAGAAAGACTATCTATATCAGCAATTTCTATAGAATTACCATACACACATTTTATTAATGAATCATTATAAAGAAAATAAGGTGGGATTTCAACACTATTTGTAGGAAGATCAGAATTGCTGCTTGATAGCCCATCTCCATTGTAATCAACTTGCTCTGATGGAATACGCATATTATCAATCAAATGTATTATTTTAAAATGACTCCATAAATCTGAACTTTTTATACAGGACTCTATAATATCGACTTTGGAGCCTTTAGGCACTACTGATAAAGTCTGTCTAAAATCACCACCTAATAAAATAACTTTTCCGCTAAATGGGTGGGAATTTTTCATAATGTCTTTAAGTAATCGGTCAATGCATCGCAAAGCATGTTTATTCATCATTGTGGCCTCATTAATAATAATCAATTTGCTATTTTTAATATCTAGAGCTAGCGAACTATGTAAATTCATATGGGATGTAGAAGTTTCAAAGATAGGCACAGGTAATTTAAATCCGCTATTGATGGTTCTTCCCCCCTTGAATAGAGGATATGCCGGTGGTTGCAAAAGGCAATAAAATTTGATTTTTTGCTCTTATATAACACATTAAGGTGTTGTAAAGATACGTTTTATCTGAATCTCCAGGGCCATCCACGAAGAAATATCTTTCTGAAATATTTTCTAATTCAATCGCTTGTATAATTAAATCAAAAGCATATTTTTGTAATCGGTTTAATTTAGATATACGCTCGATTGAATCGGCATCAACATGGGCATCATAATGTTTTGGGGGGATTTTTATAGGTGAAGGAAGATCAAAACTTTGACAGCATAAACCATGATCAAGAAAAACGTTTTCAATGTCCATTAAAGCCATGTTTATTGCAATTACTTCTGAATATTGACGCAAATAATCTTCAATCATCATAAATCTGAACCTATTCCATAGATATGCAGGATTTTCAGGCTGACAAAAAATGTAGATAAAGGCAAAAGTACTCCGAAGTTGTGACGTCATTTGATATATTGATCCCTCTTCTAAGCATTCCGAAGTTGTGACGTCATTTGATATATTGATCCCTCTTCTAAGCATGATTCCCACTCTTTATCATCTGATAACAAATTTCTTTTAATAGCCGCCTCTTTAAAAGTACTCATTAAAATTCCATTAATAGTTTTTAAATAATCAAAACTTGTAGCCCCGCTAACATGAAGTAATAATAATCGAAGGAAGAATCGTTCACCAGAATTAGGATGAACGGAATACATTCTCGAATACATTTAATCGTTTTTTTCTTAGTTTCCAATGGTAATTTGTAAACACATAATGATAAGGTATTTCCCCATAAAGATATTGTCTAGCCAAAATTAAGGTGGTTTCAATAAAACTATATTTTTTCCCCTCAAATAGTGAAAAATCCAAAGACATAGCTAACCATATAATAGTAAATATAGCAGATTCGAGATTATCAATAAATTGTATGTCAGCTTTATGATCTGATAATGTATCAGTGAATTTGTAAAAACAGAGTGTATTTACAGAATTGAGTCAGCACAATGTTGGTTGCGATATGTTCCTAATACCCGCCATCGATAGAATTTTAAAAACCTTTAAAAAAAAATATTTCTTAAATAAAGATTATAAAAGCTGTCCTAAAATTTTTAAATATTTTTTCAATAATGAATGGCAGAGGTATATTTAGGAATGATTTTACATGTAGGAAATCTACTACATGCTGTTAATGTGTAGTTGCAATCAGAAGAATCTTAACAAAGATTCACAAAATTATGCTGCAGATGTGTTCATCTTTACAGTTAAAAATTGATAATAAATTTTATGGCGCCATTGTTAAAACTTAATTATATTTTACTTGAAATTTAATAATAGAACTAAATGTTTACCATCGTTATTGAGATATTTATTAAATTCCTGGGAATGACATATTATATATTTGTATAACCATTAGCTCGTCATCTAGTGTTGTTAAAGCAATCCGATTTCTCTCATTTTTCCAGGCAGTCCTCATCAGGCTAAAAATGCGCTAGGACGAGGCATTAGAATGAGGTAAGGAGAAGACATACTCGCATATTTTTCCAAGCATGGGGATTTGTCGTTATTACGCAAAAATTCTACCTATTTCTCCTCTACTTTAGACCATCTAACTTTAAGTATTTTGGCGAATCATTAAAAATAAAGAGAATTCAATCTCCTCAAACAAGGCATTTAATGTCTACAGTATTTTTAATATATTTATTACCATATAAAAACCATCAATTAATGGTTTCTGTTCCAAGGTCATAATATTTATACATTTATAAATAGAATTATTAAAATCAAATTTTAATTGTAAATATTATAAAATTGTCTTAATAAAAATTGCTTCATTTAAAAATGTATTAATTAGAGTATTATTTGAACATTTAATATAACATTTTTAGCAATAGCGCCATAAAAATTATTATCAATTTTTAACTGTAGAGATGAACAGAGCTGTAGCATGATTTTGTGAATCTTTATTAATAAAGAATATCCTGATTGCAACTAAATATTAACTGCATGAAGTAGATTTCCTACATGTGAAATGAACCAAATATGCTTCTGCTATTTCATACTCGAAAAAATTTTTCAAAATTTTAGGGCAGCTTTTAAAATCTTTATTAAAAAAGTATTTTTAAGGGTTTGTAAAATTTTAAAATTCTATCGATGGCAGGTATTAATGACAACCACCTGATAGGTATATATCGCAAACAACTCACACCATTCCAAGTCAGACCACTTCACCAACTCTTTTAATTCATTAACTCTTTTAGTTGATGAACTAAATTCGTTAAAACATTTCATCACAATCATTTCGACATCCACAGATAGTACATTCATTGCCTTCTTGCAAGAATTATGTACTAGCATATATGGCATATACAGCCAATTAGTATTAATTCATTATTGTGCTGCCTCAATTCGGTAAATACACTTTGATTTTTGCCAAAATTCACAGGCATTATCAGCGCAGAAAGCTGATATACAACTTATTACCCTGAATCAGCTATATTTACCATTATGTGGCTAGCTACATCGTTGGATTTTTGACTATCCGAGGAAATAATTTTAACAGTTTTATTGAAATGTTCTTATTAATGTTTTAATATCTCCCTTATTAGATGCATCTATTGCATATGGATGCCCATCTTTCAAATTATATAGAATTGACCTCTAGGATTTAGGTACTAAAACATGTGATAGCCTTGCTCATTTTTGTTCTGCCACAAGTAAGGTTTGCATTTATATTGGAGTCGTTAAATATCATGAGAAAAAGATTCGACCCACATTGTGATGATATAGCTCTGTGAATGTTGAACTACATGATAGATGTGTACGATTTCTGCAAATGTAGTTGCATATGAGAATATTTTTGTATTGCAATCATGTTGATATACTCCCCTGTACTGACTTATATGAATAAAATGATGTTGATTTATTATTGGATAAAAATAAAACAGAAAGAAATTTACAAACTAGACATGTTTTTCGAATAAATATTTTATTTTAAAAATAATCAAATAATGTCTCTCAAAATCAATATTTATATATTAAAAACGTTAAAATACTTTTAAAAAAAATTGTGGGAGAAATTAAAAAATTGCGGTAGTTTTGCGGGAGAGATGCCTGCGTGTTAACTAAAAAATTGCGGGAGTCTCCCGCTGATGGGGAGAGACATGGCAACCTGGACCCGAGTTCACATCTCTTATTTTACATATATAGATGTTTAAGAATGATCCTAAACTATTTCCTTGAATATTATTAATAAGTATTTTCTTGAATAATAAATTAAAATTGGATATTTTTGTTGAAAATAAATATATCTTGAGTTAATTTAACTAATTCATATAAAATGATATATTAATGGTTCTTATTAGTTATTACTGATATAATGACATATATAGTTGACTAAGAATGGTCCTAAATTACTTTTTTGAATGTGATAAATATGTTTTGTTGAAATATTTAATTATAAATTCTGTAGAATATGGCATCATGATCTGACTTACCAAATTCCTAAGCGCCATGATCCTTTACTGAATAGATATTGATTCTTTTTTACATTCTAAGAATGATGTTTAACAGAGACCTGCAGAAATACCATTTGAAGAGCCCTGATTTTATTAAAAAAACATTTTTCTCGGCCTGGCCCAAGTTTTATGTTTACAAATCTGGTCCGGATTTTTTTAAAATATATTATATTTATTCTTGTAGCTAATAATGGTGGTATAAAATATTTGGTTTTAAAATTTATGGCCCTGCCCGGGTATATTTAAAAAAAAATAAAAATAAGGCCCAGCAGGTCTCTGATGTTAATAATGATATATTTTATTGCTAATAAATAATATTTCAAGTTTTTCATTAAGATAAATGTAGGTTGTTAGAATTTTTGACGATTATGGCATATTTAAGAACAGCTGATAAATGATTTGTACCAAAACTCTAGTACGCCCCTAATTTTAGTTAATATTACTTTGATTGGTATAGTTGAAATATAATGGTAATATGAAGTAAAATAAGAGTAACAGTTTCCTGGAAAATAGATCACCAGAAGAGGAGGTTTCGTATATTATCGGTGCTTCAAAACTCTCATTAACGGTATCGGATAATTTTGGTTGGCCCCAAATGGGCTTGACTGCAATTCTGAACGTCGGGGTATCTTTTCAGGAATGAGTCATAGCACACACAGACCTCGGCAACCAACTCCCATCGCTAAACATCGCCAAGAAGCTTACTATAAGGCCATTACAATCCTCCTTTATGCGGGCAGTCGCGAGAGGTTTTAAACTAAGGTTAGACGAACTATGCATCCGCAACAGTGAGGAAAAGTATTTTAGACATGGTAGACAAATCCCCTTAGCCGAAAAATATGCGCTAGTTATGGCTCCGCAACTAGATTCCGAAGTAACCAAACCTGTTGATGTAGGCCAAATTTTTTCCCAACTTTATGTCATTAGCAAATCAGATGGTTCATAGAGGGTTATTACGTAAGAGCATTATCCGTTTTTTTAGCTGAGGCTAAGCTTTAGCAGATTTATTTTGTCTAAGTCGATTTATTTTGGGTAAGAAAGTTTTAAAATGTAGAATATGACAATTGTCACCCTTTTGAATTACATTATTAATAAAAAAACAGATTTAAAATTTTCATAAAAAACATTGGGAAAATTAATAATGATGAAAACGAAAATTGTATTGAGTTTCCACTAAAACAGATTTTAAATATTCATTTTTACCTAATTTCATTAAAAGAATTTTCTAAATGACGAATATGATAATTGTCAACCTTTTGAATTAAATTATTATAAAATTTACAGTGAGGCAAAATAGCCAATCAAAATCAGCTTAAGCTCAACCATAGCCAATCAAAATCAGCTTAAGTTCAGCCCTAGCCAAAATAAACCGCGTAGCCTCATTCAAAAAAAATCGGCTAAAGCCTAGCTAAAAATAAAATCGACTTATGCTTAGCCAAAGAAAATCGGCGTAGAATTCGCCTTAGTCAAAAAAAAATCGGCTAGGCTAAGCCGATTACCCAACTATAGTTGTCAGCGATTTCTCAGAAGTCCCAAGCTTTCATTATCCTTTCAGGCTATTCGATTTTAAATGGTCAACTAGACAGATGCCCTCTGGAAGGAGGGGGGCTCGCTTTTTCTGAAGCAAAATCGGTTGTGAACCCTACTAGTTTAATTTTATATCTGATAGCTCAAAATATGGTCAACAAAATTGTATCAGCCGATAACTTAACCCACTTTAGACTAGCAATATACCTAGACGCTTTCAGATTAATTACACTCTTATTCAGCATCTTGAGATGGGTCGAATCTTTTTAGCCAGAATCCTAGTTGTAGCAAATCATCTCGTCTTGTCCAGTCTATTCTTGTCATATTAAATTACAGTTAACGCCCGTCGTCAACACATATCTAGCCTTCAATAAAGCCGATCTAATCATCAGCGCCCACGACTTGCCGAGCTCTCCATTGAGATAATGATCACACCACTCAGGAATATGAGCTTTTTGGGGCCAAATCAATAGATACCTCATTTCGTGCATATCAGAGCCATCTCTAATCGCTATTTCCATATTAATTATACTAACATATCATTTCTTCAAAAAGTATAAATCATTTATATCGAACAATATTTTTATGCATATAAAAATAAAATATAATTTATATAAAATTAACGAGTAGATTTTTTTAAAATTATAATTAAATAACAATTTAAGATATTTTCAGATAATTTGGTTATTAGCAAAGATAAAATATGTATGCAAAGGATGAGAATACCCTTTCTACCCTTAATTAAGATGTATTGTAAATATTGTGGAAATAATTTTAGATATTTAGAATTATTCGAGTAATTGATACATTTTTCGTTTTGAATTTTTTAGGCGAATTCATAATTGGATCTGATCTGACTCGATTAAGTAGCTGATGGATTTTTAAAATTGTTTATGAGATTAATATTCTTTATTGATATTTTATTTTTTAATTCTATTAATCATAATAACATAAGAATTATTGATTAATAAAGAAAATTGATGTGTCATATGGACACTAAGAATCCCGCTTTATAATTTTTAAATTCATTAAGAAGATATCATTTGAGATGCGGCTCCTTATGTTATTATTTTTTGACATTTTTGATTCAAAACTTCTAAAAAGCATGGCAGTATTTTTTTAATCGATTGCTTTAATTCCTAAATCTGAATTGGATGTCTTCGATATATTTTTTAATAAAACGGATCTATAATAAAACACATATAATAAATTATTATTTCTAAATTTGTAGATGTTCGAGTATAACTCTAGAGCAACCCAAGAAAAGAATATTTTTTTTAAATTTTGTTTTTTAGTTACCATTACAGTAAGGAATGATACCTTTTCCAAAAATAGTGGTGGCAAACATAAGTAATACAAATAATAAAAAAAATTTATTTCATCTATAAATGCAAACAAAAAAATACAATATTTTTTATAAATTTATCATTTAAATCTTTTATTTAAAAAAGGCACATATATTCATACGTAACTAGCATCTTCAATTGCTTTAGTTTTGATCCTTTGGTTCGAATGCCTTATAAGTTGTAAGCAGCCCTAAAATAACCTAATAAATCAATATAATGTTATAGGTAAATCCCAAAAATGAATAAATTTAGAATTAAAATTGGAATTCCCTTTTTCTATTGAAGATTAGAATTAAAATGAGAATATTTTATAATAAATAACATGTGGGTATTTTTTTATTCGTTCTGGAGATAAAGTGAGTTTTATATAAGTGATCAAAAATAAAAAATGATGTTTAAAAAAATTAATTGCATTGCATAATGATACCATTTAACAGAAAATTATGGTTATCTTTTCATATATGTGTGGCCAATGACAAATTACCTCGACGCAAATAAGTATAATAATCATCCACTCTAATCGTATGTGATGTTTATCATTCAAATAACTTTTGAGTAAATTTATTATGTCGAAGCAATGATTCAATTGTTCATTCATGATCTAATAAACATTTTTTAAAAAAGTATTTATCAATTATAATTACTTCTATAAATGTTATTTTTAAAAAAATATGTGTATGTTTTTGTGCAAAAAAATTATTATAATGAGATATAATTTTACAAATTTATATAATTATCTCTTTATCTAATTTATTCATTACGATGATTATACTTTCGTCCTTTTTGGAATGTTCAAATAATTACAAGTTCTTATGAATAAGCATTCTAGATTTTCTCGGTCCCAATAAAAATCGGGAGGATCTAACAAGTCTGAAGTCAAATTTATCTGATGCCTTTAATATATAAAATATAGCTACAAAAAATTATGGAATTACCTGAGTTTAAACAATTCTCCGGCTTTTTTAAGAACTTTGTCTTCTGTAATTTCAATCTTGGATCTAAATTGCATGTCCTAATTGGGTTTAAAAAAAATCGGTTTGTATATAAATAATTGATTAGTTATACATATAGGCATCTATTAAAAATTATTATTTATTTGTTTTCAGAGATTTAAACTTTTAATAAATGATTTAAAATTACAGATATTTTTCAAAGTAGAGAATTTATCATTATATAGTTCAATAAATAATTAAATCATACAATTATATACAAAGTTGGACTATATCGAAATACATTTAGGTTATTCAATGAAAAATCAACAAGTTGGCGACCCCCTTCAAATTTTTTAAAATTTGGCAAGTAATGAAAAGTGAATTTAACGAAATAGCCAAAAATGTAGCCTCCTAACATTTATATTTTCTGAGATATGGTGGCAAAAATAAAAATATTTTCCAATATATGAATTAAAAATAACACCTTCAATTTTTATAAAATATTTAATAGACATTACTAAACTCCTTTTATATTTATCAGAGTTGTTAAAAGATAATTTTTAATGGATCTAGATAGAGATACTGCATTTAAAAACGTATCTAGATACTGATGCAAGCATAAAAATGTATCTGTAACCCGATACAATTTATTATTTATATACAGGGTGGTTCCTGAACAAAAACTCCTATTACGAGAGCACAAAATATGTAAATAATATTTTTATATTTTGCTCTCATTCAATTCGAATACCATATAAAATAATATTAAAAAATCTAAATACCCTCATTTTTATCGTTCTTTTGAACAAATTCTTCTTAAAAACAAGCAATTATTTTAAAAAAAATTTCTACATTAAACTTATAATTTATTTATTAAATTAATTAAATAATCAAATGTATTGTTTTTAATAATTAATGGGCGTCATGGCTAAGAAAGGATTTGTATATTATTTTATAACGCAAATAAATTGAGCATTAGTGGTACGTTTTTCAACATACATTATAAAATTATAATATTTTATTTTATATATAAGTTTTATTTTATATATAAATTTTATTCTATATATAAGTTTTATTATATATATATATAAGTTTTGATATTTAATATTATATATCTTTTTTTATTATATTAATATTTTTTAATAAATATTTATTTAAATTATATGCTCATGTAAAATAAAATGAATTTTGCATTCAAATATGATAAATAAAGATATATCAAGATGCATCTTGCAAAGTGTCTAAAAACAGATACCTCTAAAATAGTATCTAGATAGAGATATATTTTATAGTGATGTAGATACAGATACATACCTAAACTTGTATCTAGATACTTTAATAACTGATATTTATAGGAAATTGTCATTGGATAAAAGAAATCCAATTTATTACACCATTTATAATTTATAATAAAATTATTCATATAACATTTATATTTAATGAATATTAATAAGTGTTCATTCAAGTTTAGAGTTCTATATGAATCAGATTCTTGTATATTTCATGTATACCTGGTTCCCAAGATAAAAAAATCATTATAAACCATGAAATGCTTATGCACATATATACCTTACCTAAAAATATTAAACTACTAAAAGATCCAGACAAGAATATCAAAAGAATTTTTAACAATAACGTTTATTAAACAACTGGGGTCTGCATAGCTATAGTGCTATGAAGGGTTAAGTTCCCTCATTTGATGATAGTCATTCAATATTAAGTTTTAAAAATATTCCATATGTATAAAGTTATACCTCAACAATCTGTTCAAGTGATGCACCATATTTATCCAAACGAGATTCCCATATTGAAAGTTTAACTAAAAATTTAATTTATTTAGATCATATTATACTCTCATTAGTAAACCTGATTGAGCCAAAGAATTAGAAAATGTATACAATTCTAATATGTTCGAATTTTTTGATTGTAAATAGATTTTTCCATCATGAAATTTAGTCTGATTTCTATATGTTTATGTATAAAACTAAAATTACATTTTGTTTACTCATGTAATAAAAAATCTAATGTGTCACATTCTTCTTCAATTAAATTTGATTCATATGCATTTGTGGACACATTTTTAAGAGTGGATAGAATTTGTTTAATCTATATAAACTTGTTTAGTTATACATATATAATTATTAAAGCTTCATTTTCATATATATTCCAAAATACTGAGACCCCATCTTCAAAAAAAAATATAGAAGGATTTTCTCTTGTTTCATCTGAAGTTAATTGAACATATAATACATCTTCTATATCTATGAGATGACCATAAACAATCCATAAACTTTATTAAAAATAAGTACCATCAGAAGCCAATTTAATATTATATGTGGAATTTTGTGTTAATGTATTATGTAAATTTTGTAGATTATATGAATCAGCTGTGGCAAAAGCTTTTATTCTGCCTAATCTCTATAAAAAATTTAGAAAGATAAAAAAAAAATAAACTTGAATTTTGGATTTTTTTAATGATCTTTTAATTTTTGATTTATCCAAGCAAAATTTCAACTCTTCTGAATTGTCTAATGTTTTTGGCTGAGGTAATGTAGATAAACATCTTATATAATAATTGTGATTTATAAATAACGATTTAGGAGAATATGAAAAATATAATTGGCATGAAAACTTATTTAAAAAATTTTTTAGAGCATGCATTGGGAAAAAAATAATGAATCTACTAATTTTTAATTAAATGATTAATAACCTGTCGATAGATGTCAAATGTCAAGTTAGTTCTTTTTGACGTCTTAATAGTTGATATGACTTATGACTGCTAATTGTTTTTATAGTTTCAATATAATCATAAATATCGGTTTTTTTTAGATTGTGTGGAGGCCTTTAAAATGTTAAATGGACAGTTTCGAAAGGCCTAATAAACAAACCATCTGGAAATCAGCAAATCAAATAGCAACGATCATTAAATTAAAATATGAGGAACATTTTTCAAATTCTTTTTTCAAACCGATTATTGCTATAATTTGTGGGTCAGGCTTAGGAAATATAGCAGAAATTTTGGATGGGGATGATGAAAAAATGAAAAATAAGCGACTTGTCATATCTTATAAAGATATACCTTATATGCCCGTTTCTAAAGGTACAGATTTATATATATATATTTATATTAAAATTAGTGGATGGACATTTAAATCAATTAACTATTGGTTTTCTTAATGGAAAATACCAAGTTTTATGCTTTCAAGGGCGAACTCATTTGTATGAAGGATATCAACCTTGGGAGGTAATTTACATTAAAAAATTATTGAATAGTTTAAATCAATGAGTATTGATTTTTTAGACATAATAGTAAACTTCCAGAAAATATTCTATAAGCATTAATTTTACATTAGAGATGTACCTGATAGAGTTTAACCAGTATTAGATAAAGAAAAAATTACCTTAATATCATTTTCAGTATTTCAATTGTTGACATAATATATAAAATAAATTCTAATTATATTGTAGTGAGAAATCATTTAATATTCTAAATTTAACATGTAAAATCTAGACTAATATTAAAATTTACCTAATGCTATCTGTTTTTTCTTCCAATAAAAAATTAATAGGTTTATAAAATTAAAAAATAAGATTCTAATAATAATAGGTTAACAATCACAAGTATTATATTTATCCTCAACATTGTATTTACATTTAATTGCTTATAAAAAAACTAGTTTTCCAATGTACTCCAAATGAAAAAAAGTATCTTTCTACTGAATCTGATGAGCGTGTCAATAATTGTTTAATATAATTTTATCCTAAATTAATTGTCCTTTTAACCACCATTCAATTTTTTTAACTTTATTATTTTGTCTGAAAACATAATTTTTTTATATGACTTAGATGTAGCCTAAAATTTTATCAAGGTAGAAAAAAGATTAGGATAAGCTATATAATATAAATATAAAATTAATCACATTCTATTGTCAATTTGGCCTCATAGATAATAAACTAATTTAGATAATCTTGCTTGAATTTTGCTAAATACCATATAAATGGGACCACATAAAACAGAAGCATATTTTAGGGCAATACTTGGGTTGGTTAATATGGACATGGGCCTGGTTCAGACTTCTTTTAGAAAATGGGTTTCAATTAAATTACTGATATCAAAATTTATCCTAAATAGAGTATAAAATTCCTGAACCCAAATTTAGGTTCATAATTCTGATATGAACACTTTTAAAATGATTAGGTTGCTTATTCAATTTATGTAATATTTTTTTATAGTTATAACCAATTGATTTACCCTCAGATAAAAATCAATTAAGACATATTTTTCATAATATAGTTTAAAAACTAACTTTTAATAGAAATAGGGTGGACAGAGAGGGTTATAAATGTTTGATTTAGGGGTCTCACTATAGAAAACTCAATCAAAATTTTAATATTAAGGATTTGAGAAATAACAGTAACTAAAATTAAAAATAATAAAATTGTAATTATTTTATTAGTCAAAAAAAATAAAATTTTAAATTTGGTTTAATCATTTATTGAATCAGGGACTTTGTAATTAGCATAGACCTGCAGTCCGACTGGGCCATATTTAAATTTTTTTAACCAATGTTTGGCTGGATCTGAATTTTTTTAAAAAAAATAATATCCTATTTGAAATGGCCATTATTAGCTATTAAAATCATAAATAAATATAATATATTTTAAAAAAATCTGGGCCAAGCTTGAAAATTTTTCTTTTGAAAAAGCCAGGCTATGCTTTAAAATATAATACCCAGGCTGGCCCAAAAAAATTTTTGAAAAAATAATCCGGTGTAACGTTTTAAATGAACCATGTTTTAAATAAATTCTAATTTAGTGATATTGGCATTTATGACTGACATATTAAGATTTCACATTATATTTTAGTGATATTGACATTTATGACTGACGTGCATTGATTAAATATGATATTTTTAGTGATACTGACATTTATGACTGACATGTAAAGATCAAATTATATTTTCTATCATTATATTGATATTTAATGCAATTTTGCTTTATTCTTTTTACAAAATTTTGTGTTTAATATATTAATTTAAGGTTAATTTCGAAAATGTCAAAGCTTAATATAGAAATGTGAGATAAAACAGTTTTAAAATGTAGATAAGATAACCACTTGCAGATTTATTTTCATCATACCACTTAAGGTTAGAAATAATATATAAGTTATCAACAATTTATAAATAATTTATTTCAAGCACATAAATTATATTTTACTGAAAAAAGATGGACAATTAGTTTATATCATTTTAAATTTATAAGAAATAATGTGTATCTTATATATATTTTATTTAATTTGTATATAAAACTTATGTGTATATATAAAGTAGAAAAACAAATTAATAAGATATGCCATATAAATAAATAAGATATGCGATTTTTTGATAATTATGCTTATTTTGTTCACAAAAACTCTCACCTCCTTGATCATTAATTTGAATCGAAAATATAATATTTTATTACCAAATTTATTATACTTTTGTCCTACCATGTGTGCATAGTAACGAGTAGAGGAAATATTATGCTGATTTATTTTTTAAAGGCATGGCTACAATATATTTGATGAAATATACAGCAATGTATTTATGCCATTCTCACCAGACATAGCACTTAAATCAACACCTATATATGTCCATACCTTTTGTAAAATAAAAAATTATTGTTATTTATATACTCTATTAGGAAGGGAATTGTAATAAATTTTAGTGTGGTTAAAAATAGAAATTAAGGTTAAGTGAAATTGCCATCTATCTTATATATTTGTGAATACCTTTTTACTAATTTAATTTATGTAATATAAAATTTATGAATATTAATTCAGGGTTGGGTGTCATGATATAATAAAGTAAAGAGGCTTACCACTATTTATGATTGCAGCTGAAAAAATATTATATAGAATAAGATAAAATCTAAATTTACTAAAAAATGAAATTATGATATATATCAATTGATACCTGAGATTGAAGGGGCCTATATTAATTTTATTTATTATATTTTCAGATTATAAATTCTAATTGTTAGATTATATGCTAATTATATTTTTATTTTAGTTGTATTTAAAAATATTATCAAAATTAAAAATGAATATATTATATATTTTTGAAAAAAGATTCAAAATAGAAGGTATAAGCTTACATAAAATTTAAATGGAATATATGAAACCAACATAACTAATAAAAACAAGTGGCACATACATATAAACTATAATAGACAGACCATTAATAAGGCTAAAAATGAAAATATAAATACATAAACAAAAATTAGATACAATTAAAATGACCAAAATTATAAAACATTTTTAATTAAGGATTTATTATGTAATCAACTTTCCTATCTTTGCCGGAATAGGAATTGAATGCAACTCATTGCTGATTTTTCCAAATCTTGTGTTGCTATGCTGGAAAATGTCACAACATATTACAAAATTTAATACATCCTTCATGTTTGGTCATCAGAAGCTAAAAATATAATACATCATATAATAAATAGATTATTATGCAAAAATATTTTACATACCAGCCAATTTGCTGTGAGTCTTGGTGATACCAAAATGGTCTGCTAAAGATTTTGCCTCGTTATTATCACGTCCACTCCACTATAACCTTTTTAAGTAGTTAAAATCTTCTTTTACAATCTAAATCAACTATTGAAATGTTTAACAAAAATATATATAATAAATGGAATCTACTTTGTAAAAAAATATTTTCAAATTTTATATTAATTTTGAAAAATAAAAAAAATTGATCTTTTTCTCAGTCATAAATGTCAATATCACTAAATTAGAATTTATTTAAAATGGTTCATTTAAAATTTTAAACCGGACCGAATCGTGCAAATAGTACCTCTGCAGGTTTCTGGTAATTAGTATTGCAAAATCGGCTAATTTTCTCCTGCCGATTTTTAAAATTAGGCTTAGGTGAGATTTTTAGCCAATTTTGCTAACCCTAACTCTTAAACGTAGAATGTAAATTTAATTCAATAAAAATAGAATTGAATTTTTTAGTATATTTTCAACAGTAGAATATTGATGAGCATTCAATATTATACTCATCTAGAGATGATTTTTTTTTAAAGTTGAAATTACTTAGTTTTATTAATTTCACATATTTTATGTATAAAAAATAATTTTTTGATTTAGAGGAAATATCTGGTATTAGATCCCAGATTTACTTATTTATATTTATATTTTTTTCTTATAAAATTTTTAACAAAAATAATAATATTAAAATATTTAACTATAAGATAACATTGCCAGTCAGAGCCATGAAATTAATGGGTGTTGAAACATTATTTGTAACCAATTGTTCTGGGTGTTTATCTAAAAATTTCAAAAGTGGTGATGTTATGATCATTAAAGATCATATTGATTTTGCAGGGTTGGCCGGACAAAATCCTTTGATAGGTGATAATGATGATAGGTAATTAAATTATTTTATAAAAAAATTTTATCAAATTATGAATAGTTTTTTCTCAAAAATGCATAAAATAATTTTTATATATCTATCAGTGACCTACGATGTATAAATTTTAAGCCCTGTATGGATTAAAAAAATTATTTTTACCATAGCCCACGTGTTTTAATTTTGATCATTGTACAGAGATTTTTAAAATTTTCTTATTTTGATTTTGTAAAATATTTAAAAAAGAAATCTAAATTATGAGCATGACATGAATGCGAAAACGATCTATTATTAAATTTTCCAACTAATTAATTTATATTATTTAAATTAATTTTTTTATTATGTGAAAATTAAATTTTTTATTTGGTAAAAATTGAGAATTGGTTATCATTTAAGATAAAAATGTGTCAATTTTTTTCCATACCGATACATATAATATAACGGACCAAAACAATACATATAAATTTTTAGCTCTCGATACTCCGTCACCTTGTATTGGATACCGCAGAATATATTCTAATTATAGTTTTGTTTTAATAAAAGAAAAGATCAAATCATTTTATTTTTTAAGCCTGTTCTGTTAAATAGCAAGATAGATTTTTTTAAATGATGTCGTCATTTTTAAATTTCGATTTATTTTACATTCCTCTTTTTTTCTGATTGAGATAACAGTGCTGATAATATTTTTCCCCTTCATATAAAGCACCCCTTATAGCTTTTATATTAATTAACAAATAGTGTTGTTAAACAGCTCATTTTGAGCCGATTTTTTAAAACGGCTAACTCAATATTTTAGCCAGAAAAATATTATCTAAGCCTCGAGATTTCGTTAATATATGTCTAGACCTTTGTTCCTTCTATGAGCAAAATCTTCTGGCTTGCGTAATATTTTTCTGGATGAAATATTGAGTTAGCCGTTTTTAAAAATCGGCTCAAAACGAGCTGTTTAACAAAACTATTTGTTATATAACAATAATTTATAAATTACAGTAATAACAAATTACAAATAAATTTAAACTGGGCTGGATATTTATCCTTAAAACTTGGGCCAAAATTTGCACTAAACCTCTAACTTAAGCCTCAGCATGAAGATTTAGACGAATTTTATAAGATAAAACACTTCTTTTCGAGTTTGATAAAGACTATAGTTGGGTAATGGCTAAATGTCGGCCAATTCGACTCAATCTACAAAAGCGTACTGGAGAAAATCCTTTAACATTAGTTTCTTTTAAATGTATGCTGTATTTTTCTGAAAAGCCTCAAGGTCAAAGTTATAGTTTTCAGCTAAAAGTTCGTTTTCGCCGATTTTTTTACCGGCTAAAAATTGGCTTAAGTAAAGATTAAAAATAAGTTATTTAACGACATTACTGCTAGGTTTGAGTGGAACCAGTGTGTAGAAATTATTATCTGAGTTAGATATTGTTAATTTTTCTCAGATTAGGCCAGAGATCACGAATTTTTTAATATAATTTTGGCGAAATAATCCAACTATCTGAGTAAAATATTAGTAATTTTTCATAGATAGATAGGGATCCTATGAATATTTCCTGGTAAAATTTTTTAAAAATAAACGTTTCATTTACTTTCAATTTAGGCTCTGTCGATTTACAAATTTTTTAACAGATCCTATATTTACATTAATTTTTATTTACCATCTATCAATGAAACAATATAATAAAAATTTACTAACTGTAAACTCTTAGTGAAAATGAAAGAAAAAAATCATTATCTGGGGTTTTTTTTTTATCATTTTTCTAATTTTTTTTTGTTTTTATACTTCCATTTTATAGGTTTAATTTATATCAATTTTTAAAGGAAAATATTGTGAATTTTTATAGGGTATGTAGTAATATTTTATTATAAATGATAATTTATTAACATGCTATGTACAGTTAGGTAAATATTAATTTAATAAATATTTTAAAAAAGCATATTTATTATTCAACTAAAGGATATAATGAAAAAAAGAAGGGGTAAATAATGTTTAAACAAAAACCTATTGTTTATTTATAAATATTTAATCACATAAGGTGATGTCAAAATATTAGCTCAATAAAACTTAGTAAATATTTTCTATATAAATAGTCAATATCTTAATAAATCATACCTATTATTCTTTTTACATTAATTTCTAAAGTTAATATTGGCTAAATTATGGTAAAAATAAATTGCAAAGGGTTTGTTTTCAATTGATCATAATTGAAGTTATATGTTTGATTTTATTTCAAAATTTTTTCATAGTCCTGGCCTTTCCTCCCAAATTTGCCTAATTTCTATAGAATCTCTATTTAATCACATAAGGTGATGTCAAAATATTAAATTATTGTTTCAAAATTTATAATATATACACTTACTAATCTTAAATGTACACTTCTCCCAACCATGTTATCCCTGATATTTTTATTTATTGGATTTTCATAATCGTTTTGGTTAAATTTATAAAAATTAATATCATTAAAAATTTTACTTACTAATTTTCTTCTAAAAATTTCAAAATTTTGAATATATTTTTATTCAACTTTATTTTTTTTTATTATTTTTAAAAAAAAATAAATTTTTACAAATACCGAAAAATGAAATAGGACACTATTTTATTTTTACATTAAAAATAGCTTATGTTATTTTTTTCCTCAAAATTTATTTATTTATTTTATTTTTTTTAATGACTTTGGACGCAGCCTTACGTAAAAAAATTAATTTTAAAATTTCTTTAAAAAAAATTAAAATTATTTTTCAAAATATAAATTCTCTGAGAAATCTCAAGAAAGATTTTTAATTAACTACCTAATTTGAATTTCATTTTTACTATAAATATATATTATCAAATTCTGTCAATTCTAACTTAAATACAAACTCCCAATCCTCGTCTACTATTTCAAGACCCAGAAAAATATTCGAATAAAGAAAAAATCGGCATAGTTAGTAAAATGTTGTCCTTACCGGAAAAACAACAAATGAAAGTTAAAGACATCGCTAAATATATTGATAACCCCAGCTTAATCTCTTAGATTATTTTTTGGTATATTCAAAAATAAATCTCGTATCACTCTTCTACCTAATTTACGAGATAAAATTCCAATATTATCGAGCTCTTTCGTGGATTCATTCCACATGATTTACCAACTTTTACAATCATATGTAACAATGTCTGGGAGTTGGGTTATCGCGGACACCGATTAATTAGGTAATCCCTAATAATTTATATTAATAATTTTAATTTCACTGTTTTATATTCTAAAATGTATCATCTTCCAAGTCGAAAAACATATAGAATGATTTTATAATATTTTGAATATTTTTTATTCATAAAACATTCCAAAAGAATTTTTAAAAAATGTAGAATAGGTAATAATAGTTTATTATAAGTGATATTAAGTAAGGCTATGCATTTAAATTACACATTTAAGTATAAATTTTAAAAAAATTGTGTTATTTTGAGTCAATATGTTCTCCAAACCTGAACCCTTTTTAAATTTTATTCTTCAATTCAGACCTATTTTTTTGTCCAAGGGTTCACATTTCTATTTTTATTGTACTGATAATTTGAAAAGTTATTATAAAAAAAAATGTTCATTCTTTAAAATAATTTAAAGATCTTTGAGTTCTGGTGTAATCGCTCTGATTTTCCTACATATAATTTTAATTAACTTACAGTCCCGCTTGACATGTCGTCGTTCGATTATTGGAGTACTCCAGGTTCAAAATGGGATATTAAATTTGTTTCAAATCATTGATCTTGTTAAACATCTTGACAAAATTGAAAGATGGGTTACTGCATTAAAATCAATTCATTTTTATCATTATGAAAATTTCTTTTAAAATTTATAGTTAAATCATATGTCCTCAAAATCGGGTCGTTTAAAAAATATTTACCTGATCCAATTTTTTTTAAACGGTAAGTGTCAGCTCCCTTCTTATATTTGTATCGGCACAACCCTACGTCTAATTAATTTGGTACAGTATTAATATAAGGTCAATCGATTAAAAAAGGAGTCAGAGACTAAAATACTTAATGTTAAATTAAGTGCTTTTCAAAATCAAATATAAATATTATTTAAATTTCAAAATATTTTACCGATTAATCCCATTAATTTTATATATTTTAATTAGATGGGGCCTAAGATTTCCCGATTTGCGTGCCCCGTATTGTATCAAACTCAGAAAATTAACACTCGAATCTGCCAATAGTCTCCATATGAGCCCTTGCTGCAAAGAAGGCATTTATTTAATGGTATGTGGCCCCAATTATGAGACTAACGCCGAAAAAAACATTATGACTAAGTTTGGTGCAGATGCTATAGGTTAAAAAAAATATACACTATATACCATGCCATGTTGCAAAAAAATATATATATAATGAAAGTTATAGTATAATATATAATTAATTTTAATTTAATAGCTATTGTAGACTGTTTAAAGTATTTATAATAGTAGTAAGTACAATGTTCTTGGTGTTACTATATTTATTTTATATTCAGTGTGTTTTTGACCACTCGTACTTATGTTTAAAAGATTTAATTGTGGAATCATAGTATCTTACGTAGAAGTTTTTTTTAAACTATAAAATTTGATATTTTACTATTTAAAATTGTTCATAAGTATTCAACATGTCCTTTGTGGATTATTTACTTTATTTCCACATTTATTAATTCATTTTTTCACTTTTGAAAACTTTAAAAAATAATCTAATCGAATATGCGACGAATCAAATATCCGGCTTATCTAATAATTTTTAAAATATTCATAATTTATTTTATTACAAGTTTTTATAAATTTCAAATCTAAATAGAATAAAAAATTACTTGTACATTAAATAATTAGGGGCCAGTACCGTTTCGGAGGTTATTGTAGCTAGACATTGCCAAATAAGCGTTTGCGGTTTGAGCCTAATAACAACCGATTATCAAGATCCGCTAGAAAAACCATCTGAACCTTTGCATGCTGATCATATAGAAATGGTATTAGCTCTATCCTTTGATGAGGGTTCGAGAAAGATTGGACAAATTATTAAAGAGACGGTGGCCAGAATGTGATGATTTTTTTTTAGATATTAATGTTTTATCAATTAAATTTAACTTCGTTAGGACTGGAGCGAAATGTTTTTAAGAAATATCATTTACAATCGCATTTATTTTGGGTTAATTTAGGTTAGTTCAATTTAAAATTATTTATAATTTGAATCCCATTTATACATTATTATATATTTTTTTATTATTATTACAAATTCTACAAATATTTTTAATTTTCTTTCATAACATAATAAATTTTTTTTTAGTTAATTTAATAAAAAATAATTATTGTAATAATATATTTTAAAAATCTTCATATTAATTATGATAATCATATATTGGTATATATTATATATTAAGTTATAATGAATATAGTTAGAATATAAATATAATGCACATATTATTTTATTAATTAAATATCTAAACTTTATAAACTAAACATTAGCTAAGTTTATGTATTGAGCCATGTATGTTATATTATATAACAATTATACTACAAGTACAACTCAGGTATTAATAATCAATTTCAGGAACCACTATTTGAAATTATACATAGTTTAATTTAACAATTTATATATTAACAATATAAATATTTATTTTTATATCAGTACCTGATAATTTTAAAATCAAATACTCATTTGATAATTTATATATATCCTTATTTTATAGTTTTATTATATATTTATGTCATTTTAAATACTCCTGATATGATAGATAAATATTTATAGATTTGTAATAACCCATTATATTTTTTATTAATTTAAAACTGTTGTTTATAATTTAAAATAAAATATGAAAAATTAATATCATAATTTTTAATCCATATTTTAAATGTATTCCACTATCAAATGTAAAATACTAAATTTTGGGGTGTTTACCTTAAAAAAAGATACAATAATTTAAAAATAATGTATTTTTTACTTTTAAAAGGAAAAATGCTAGGAGAGGGAAGTTGAGCTAAACATATAATTTAATGATATGCCCTCTTTTGGAAAATTATCCAATAATTAGATTGCAAATTTAAAAAATAAAAGTTGTCATGACATGACAAAATAAAAAAATAAGTAATTAAGCTGTGTCCTGATTCGACTTATTTCCAACCAGGAAGTTGTATAACTTCGACTAAACCTAAAAAGTAAGAGAAAAAGCAAATTAAAATAGGGTGTCCTAAGCTATTTGCCATAGGTATCAAAACTAATCGAACCAGTATACAGTTTTAGGAATTTGAAACATTTTATTTACAATATCCTCAATATTTTTTACTAAATACCAAGATGCATTTTATGATTTTGGTAGTAATGTTCATATGGTATTGTTTTATTATTTTGCTTCCTTTGAATCTCCAAAATCAAGATTTCTTTATCATAAACTAAACCAGGGACCGGGAGAAAAGGCATTTTTTCGTTGTCGTTCCGACCAAAATAGGCTCCGTTTTAGATGTCCCGCATAGCGTTTACTAAAAAAATAGCAAATTATATATCCATTTTACTAATATTATATCAATTTTTATACATGATACTAAATGGATAATAATATTGTATAGTGAAGCAAACTGGAATTAAGAAATTAAAAAAATAATATTTATAAGTGAGCCATCATATATAATTATTATAAAAAATTAAATTTATAATTTTTCGTTCCAATAGTTCCTGGGATCACCGTTTCTTTCACGTTCCATAATTTTAACCTATTTCCGTTTCCGATACATTATCTTCCATGTCTTATATAATCTTTTTTTTAAATTTTCAGAACCTCTTCTAAAAAAAGTGCAAGAAATTTAATCTTATATAAACTTTTTTTTAAATTTTCAGAACCTCTTCTAAAAAAAGTGCAAGAAATTTAATATATTAAATTTAAACTAATGTTGTTAAAAGACTCGTTTTGAGCCAATTTTTAAAAACGGCTAACTCAATTTTTTATCTAGAATAATATTACTCAAGCCCTGAAGATTTTGTTTGTAGAAGGAACAAAGGTTTGGAGTTTTATTAGCGAAATCTCGAGGCTTAGGCCATATTTTTCTGGCTAAAATATTGAGTTAGCTGTTTTTAAAAATCGGCTCAAAACTAGTCGTTTAAGAACACTAATTTAAACAATAAACACCATAATCAACATTATATGGTGTTTATTGTTTAAATTTTTTTTGATTGTTTTAACAGTTTTGAACAAAGTCCCACTATTTAAAATATATTCAGGAATAACCATTTTCGCCCAATTTTCAAACTGTATAATTTTTTAAAGGTATAATATTATTTTTTAATTTATCTATTGGACATTTCCTAAGCTGATAAATTATCATTTATAAAAATATAGTGTTCTTTGGGTTTAACGTTTATTAAATTACAGATACAATTCTTAAAATTATAACATCAAGAGTTGTATTAACTTTTAAACAAAAATACGAAAACTTGAAAATATATAATCATTTACTATTGATACCATAAGATAAAATATTTATTATTTGATTTTATATCTCTAAAAACATTTGAAAATAAGCGGCCATAGGCGCTCACTGGTCATAATGTGTATGTTTATTACTTTTCCTTTTATATAAGTTAATTTATTAAATAGAATAATTTATTAAATAGAATAGTTCAATAAAGTAATTTTTGCTGGTACTTCTTTCTGCTCAAATCTGGAAAAATTTACGCTTTCGGATGTTTTATATAAATATGATTCTTAAATTATTATTCACAAAAACAAACTAAACATTTTTTATAAATGTACAAAGTGGCCATATTTGAATAGCCCTAAATTTCTTTATTCAGGGATGCCAACCCTCCTAAAAAATGGGTTCTAGGTTGGGTTCAGTGAAAAATCTCTGAAAGTGGTTCGGGTTGGGTTCGGAGGTCAGAAAAATAATGACTTATTAAAATTAATAAAAATACATTTTTAAAAAAAAATTTATTCTAATTAGTATTGCAATAAAAATATTATCATAATATATTCGTAACTATCAATTTGATAATCCACAAACAACAATATCCTAAAATATATATTATCATGATTTATAAAAATCTGCTTTGCTGAGTAAAATTTAAAAATTTTTACAAAAAATGGCCGACTTATAAATATAACAAAAATGATTCCAAGAAAAAATGATCAAAAATTTTTTTTTAAAATTAATATTTATTTTTTTTGAATAAAATAACAATTGTTTTAAATAGTAACTCGTTTTAAATAAGAAATCTTTTATAAATGAAAATCGTAAATTACATGTTTTTTATTTTTAACATATAATTTAAAATTAAAAAATGAAAGTTTAAAATAAAAAAAATAAAATTTATTTTTAAAAAAAGTTTGGACCCTGAACTTTAAATTTTAAAAAAGGGTTTGGGTTTGAATTTAGCAAAATTTTGAGGGTTTGGGTTCGGATTCTCATCCCTGATATTAACTATTTAATTGCTGAAGACACATCTACATATTAATTACAGCAACAGATTATGATAATAAATCTCAAATACAACATCAGATATATAAAATGACTTCTAAGTTAAAAAATAATTTTGATTCACATTCTAAAAAAAATATGAATGATTTTGATTATTTATTAAGCATTTTTCATAAAAATTAATTAATTTTAAAAAAAGTAAATACAAATGAAATTATAATTTATAATTAAAGTTATAGGAATAATTAATTATAATCAGGGATTCGAACCCAAACCCGGAGAAAACTCGGGTTTTGGGGAAAAAATTTGAACCCGAACCGAACCTGAACCCCGTTTATAAAATTTTCAAAACCCCGAACCGAACTCGTGAATTTTATTTGAATCCGGGTTCCATCGGGTCCAGCATATTGTTTAAAGTCATTTATTTCAGATATTTGTGTAAATACAAATATTTGTAATTTAATTGAGATTTTATAATATTTTCAAATTTCCAATTAAGTGAAGTGTTTATAAATTTTAAACAACTTAATGCTATACACCATTTTTAAGACTTATTTAATTGATTCTCAAAGATTCTTATTGGAGTGTTAATAAATTTTAAACAATTAAATTCATTTACGCCATTTATTTTTAATTTTTAGCTTATTCTCAATGATTATTAAGAGGAAAATGGAAGTGAACAAGTCAAAGTATAAATTATTATATTGGATATTGTTAATTTAAGGAAATATGTCATTAAATTTTTAAAATTGATACATGACTATGCTTGGTATTTTTAACTATATTTTGCCTATAAAAAAAAAAATATGTTTTTTATGCCAAATTTATGTCTAGTCTTTTATGATTTAAATATAGAATTTTTTTTTATCAATTCAAAAATTCTTATACCCGAGCTGAACCCTGAACCAAACTCGGGTTCAAAAATATTTCCCTAAACCGAACCCAGTTATTTTTATTTTACCTTAAACCGAACCCGAATTCGGGCAAAAATTTTGCCGGGTTCACATCCCTGATTATAATTACTAATTCCTGTTTTTAAAGTGGAATTAATTACAGAAGCTAATTTTTTAATAAGGAATTTAATGAATTAATTAAATATGTAATTGCTATCCAACCATGATTTATATTAGTGATCTTCATCGGGCCTAATTTTTCAAACCCGGCCCGACCCGAAATTTTTTTAAAAAAAATTTACCGGCCCGGCCCGAATTTATTTAAATATAGATTAATTTTTATAATTACTCAAAATAAAGGACATATGTTATATGTCGTTTAGTTTCAATAAATAAAATCAAATATTTTTATATCAAAAACTTTTGAATTTCCTTACTAAAACCAGTACAAATATAGTAAAAAAAATTTTTTTAATTAAAAATGTTCCTCCGCCCACCCTAAAGTAATTAAATTTTTACTGTAGTTCTAGGGTAAAGGCTCTTTTTTGCCATTACTCCCTTTTAAAAAAGCCTATAGAGGTTTAAGTAACATTTTTCGAAATGTTGCGCCTACAAGTACGCGGCTTGCCCACAAACGTGTGGAGGGCTCCTCATATTTTTACTTTATACCCAAATTAAATTAGTTCCAATAAGATGGAAATAAGGAAAACCTAGCTTAGCTCTGTTGAACTTTCAACACTAGAGGGCAAAAGCGTTATATATCACGTATCACGTAATATAAAATTGAGAAATTTAGATATATTTAAAAAAAATTCCAAAGTCCGACCCGACCCGGCCCGAATTTTTTTAAAAAATATTAGGCCCGGCCAGAAGATGATTTTAAAAAATATTAGGCCCGGCCCGGCCCGAACCCGATTATTGACTTTGCAGATCTCTAATTTATATACTGTATTCATTCTAGTAATAATTCAGAATTCTTAACATTATATCAAAGTTGAGGCTTAAAGTTTTTAAGAAATTATACTCGAGTATTATTCATTCAAATTAATATTCGTGTGAGCCAATTGAATATTAGATAATATTATTCGATTTTTAAAATCAGTTAACTATATGCCTGAAATAAATACTTATAAAAATTTCTATTTTAATTTTATAAAAAAGTATTTGATGATATTAAATTAATGGCTTTGTTATTATGCAACAGTTACTTTTGGTCTCTATATTTTTATTAAGAAAATCGATTTTATTAATATTCTGGTCACAAATATTTTACCTCTTAAAAAAACATACCTCCCAAATTTCATTTTTAGGACATCATCGGTCTTTGTTAATATCCTTTACTCCTAAAATTTGAACTAAAGTTCAAATTCTTTTCGAAAATATCAATTTAGCCATTTCAGAAAAACATTTACTCTAGCCTCGTTTCCCCAAAGTTGAAAGGTCTTGAGGTTATTTCTTTTTCAGGCTTTCGTCCAAAATATCGTAATCCAATAAATCTTATTCGTCATCAACATGAACTGAGTCCCCCACCCACTTAACATGTCGTTTTCCTCATTTCCTTCCCAAAAACTATGTCGTATTCCCTAATAATTTGATTTGGTCTATGGGATGCAGCTGCTCTTCAACTACTTAATTTAAAAAAGGGGCCATGAATTACTTGATTCTTTTCTCATAAGTTTGCTTGGTCTCAGAAAAATAATTCCAAAATCGTCATCGCCTGCCTGTAGACTATATTATGGTTTCAGCCTATCATATTAACAATTGCAATATGGTAGTCGATAGGCCATCACGGTCTAGCCTGCCTAAAAGTCTTTGACCGTCATAATTCTTCATGATAGAGTGAACATAATTTAAAATCCATCGTTTCTCAGCTCCCGAATTGCCCTAAACTCCTCAACTTTTCCATCATCGATCATAAAAGGCCCGATGGAAAAATCATAACTTTGGATTTTTTTCCCATCTAAATATTTTTATTCCATCTAAATATTTTTATCCCAAATTTTAATATCGACCCTGTTCTTCAACAAGAAAACAACAAAATCAATAAATATTTTGATCTGCCACACATTATTTTTTTATTCCGTATATATCCAGCATCCTAGCCCACTTTTGCTTGAAGAGTTTGGGTCTTCTTCGTCCTTTATTTTTAAAAGTTAGGCTCTTTACAAGATCCCAGAGCTTTATCACTTAAACCAGAGTCCAAATTGGAGTACTCAAGAAAGTTTCATCTGTCATTTTAATATTTTTTTAAAAAATTTTTTATATTCCATCCTCCATTTACAATTCACCTTTTTTATTTATTTTTTAAATGTTTCATATAGTTTTTATTCAAAATATTTTATTTATACATTAGTGATAACGAATTTTTAAAAAAACTTATAAACAATCTTTCATCAATATAATTAAAACCTAAAGTAACAATTAATTAGAAGAGCTGTAAATATTTCCAAAAAAATCGAACGCGTTCGTTCATTGACAAAAATCGAACACGTAATTTACTCATTTAACATATATATAGAATAATTTAAAATTAAAATCGGCTCTTCCCTTGTCTTAAAATGTTATTAAATGTATATGCAATTTATGGGTGTGGGATGTGTTCTTTTTCCAACCACAGACATTTAAGTAATAGTCCTAGCATTATTATGCGTTCAGGTACATGCGACTTGCCCACAAACCCCCTCATATTATAAATTCCCCCATTTTAGAATTGTCCAATTAGATGAAAATGAGGATTATATAGAGTAGCTCTGTTGAATCTTCAATATTAGAGGGCAATTGCGCCTCATAAATCTCAAGACAACATTTACGAATTTAATTTAATACAACATACGAGTTTTATTTATAGAATTAAAAATAAAATAGATTATTTTTAGATTTTATAATGTCTATTATAGATCTAGAAGATAATAAGCATACATTTATTGGAGTGATAGATATACGGATTCCTCAGCTCCGATAATAATGTTAATTAACATTTCTTAATATAGATTTCCTTCAGTGTATGAAGACAGTAACATATTAGTAGCAGTAATTCACCCAACATGTAAGCATAATTGGCCTTTTATTAATCTGCCTCAAAATCTCATAGTAAAAAAGGTTCATTAACGATTTGGAAAACTTGCAGGAACAACCTCATTATTAAAATGATCTTATGGATGAAATTGATTCTTTCTAAGGAAAAATCTTAGCAAAATACGTTTTCTGAATAAATTTTTTTTATTAATTGATGATTCAATTTATATTTTTAATATACTTATGTAAATTCTAAAAAAATACTTTATGAATATAAGACACCTTTCCATCGAGCGCTCCTGTGGAACGCTTGCATAGTAAAGCTAAACATATACTTAAGGAAAAAAGTGGATGAGGCTTTAGAGACATGCACGCCTCGCCCTAAGTCCGGCCCGGATACACAGGCAGGGTTATATTTTAATTTTTTTTAAATATAACCCGGCCGAGCCTAAAATTTTTTTTTTAAATAGTCGGGCCGGGCCTAAATAAAATTTAAAAAATGGGCAGTATATTTTAAAATGAAATATTTTATATCGCCTTTAATTATAAAAATTAAAAATAAATAGAATATATTTTTAACCGAGGTCGAAAAAATATTTTTTTAAAAAAATCCGAGTCGAGCCGAACAAATGGTATCTCTGCAGGTCTCTGAAATATATTATTATTGCTATATTATTCAATTACAATAAATCTATATTTAATTTATATTAATAATAGTTAATTTTGCATAGAGCATAAATTTTCTTCGGAAATTTATAAAATAAGAAAATGATCGATCGTGATCCTTATTTTTTTTTTAATAAAATTGATCTTGGATTTCGATGCTTTTTTGAAAAGATCGTGATTGGGATTCGATCCTTTTAAAAGGATCGATTAGCAAGCCTGTTGTTTTGTCTTTTTATTAATATTAAAGTACTTTATGTTAAAAATAGTGCTGTAAACATTTCTAAAAAAAATCGAACGCGTTCATGTTTACTTTCAAAAAAAATGAAAACGCATTCACCTCGTTCAAAATTTTATGATAAATTTTTTAAAATTTGATTTAATATAAATAAATGTCATATATTTTTAACACAATATATTAGCTATGTTAAAAAAATAATATATTTTTTGATAATATAATTATAAATACAATATAATATAATATAGCGAATAAAAAGGAATCTTAGAAAAAAACCCCCGGAAAAAAACCCCGAAATTTTTTTTCGAATTTACTTAAGATCTAATAATATCTCGGTATATTTTTATTTGGATTTAATAAGGTATAGACAAATTAGTATTTTAGAAAAATTTACTATAAAAATATAATTTAATAATAAATTATATACATAATAATGATTTATAAATAAAATAATCAGATCTTATTGCAAATTTTGTCAAATTTAGTCTACTTAATATAGTAATTAAGGATGGATATTGTATTTATTAATATAGCAAAAAAATTTACGTAAATAAGTAATACATGGGTTATTTTACTGGGATAATTTTTTTCCCAGTACCAATTTGAACATCAGCATTTTTTCTTGTTTAAGCACTGCGATTGATTTTGTTTTCGGTGTCCAACTACCTACACGCCATCGTTCAAGTTTGGTTTCATCGGCAGCCACCTCGCATTTTATTAATCAATATCCAGATTGATGGGTGTTTATTCCCAACCAGATTAGAAAAACGATGATTCGAACCTTCGCATTGATTATTTATGAATAATTCGTTGGATAGAGTGCTCTGATTCACGTTCCAAGTTTCTGGAGGGAATCGAGGCCCAATTCGACCTGTTTGGGATTGAGAATTGCTTCTTGTGACCTCCCTTGATACTCCATTGATGTAAATTTTATCGAAATATTCAAGAATATCCTTACCATTGCATTGCCCATATCACATAAAGGAACAAATGCTAAGCCGTCCATCATGTCACAAAAGAAGCTTAAGGTTTCATCGGTTCGGTTCTGTATTGGCTTTCCAGACCTAACTTTTGAATTTTTCTATGGGTACTTTGACACAAATGGTAAAAGCATCCTCTGATTATGATGTGATATACCAATGACAGTTTTAACCACGCTCATAGCAGACTTTTCGAAATCCAAGTATATATATAATGGATCAGGAAATAAATCCCGTTCTTGACATTTAGACATTATTACTTCGAAAATTTTTTCGTAAGTATTTTGGAGTTTAGTAGCTGTTAATGATTGTGGCATTCGCTTATAAAATTATTTATCAATATTAATTATTGCTAGGTTAAACTAAAAAAATTAAGTGAAAATTGAGAAGTAAAAAATTGAGAAAAGATTAGAAAAATAAAGATTAACAATACTTAAAGCAAAAATGGCAAGAAAATAATAAATTGAGAAAAAAATTTAAGAAAAATTGACAAGAAAAAAATTTTAAAAAATAACGATTTTATTTTTTTTTGAATTTTTTTCCATGGTTCCGGGGGTTTTTTTTCCATGGGGTTTTATTCCAGGGGTTTTTTTTCCTATTACCAATAAAAAGATATTTTTATTTATAAAAAATTTTTCTTATTAATTTTTAATAACAATTGTATTTCAAAATTTTCATATGATAGACAGGAACACTTGACAGTTAATAAGGCATTAGCTATACTAAAAACGCGCTCTACAGGGGCAGATGAGGGGTTTGCGGAATTATACTTAATAAACAACTTTTAACATGAGGAATTTATTAAAAACATTTATTCTCTTGTCCTTTGCTTTAAAAAATTGGGATAAGTTATCCTCCTCCAATCCATCCTTTACTTCCTCATCAAAAAAAGATATCTCAAAATTAACAGTTCTTGCATTATCATTTCTAGGGTTTTCAATGTATTTTTTCAATAACGCTCTAAGTTTATATGAAAAGGAAAAACGTTGATTGTAAAATATAAGACTTTTTTCTTAAAAAATTCGAATTGATATTAAATTTTTCAAATATAAAACTAAAGGGTGTTTTTAAAATTAAACGAACGTTAAATTCAAACGCGTTCGTCATAAAAAAGGAACGCGTTCAAGTTCAAAGTTTGTCAAAAATAAAAGGAACGCCCTTCATCATATTTTTTCAAAAAAAAAACTTCATTCATGAACGCTTTCAAAATGAATGCGTTCGTTTACAACTAATTAATTAATTATTTTTGTATATATATTTTTAGCTTCTAGATCCGCTATGTCGGGATAATTTATTTAATTTTGCATCAATATAACATTCTTCTTTTTTAAAAAAACACGGAAAAAGATGATTTTCTGCTGAAAAGATATAGTATTAATGATCAAATTAAATTGTTTTAAATATAATTCCGCGACAATAAACTTATGATATCGACAGAAAGTTTTTTATAATATCATAATGAGCTTATTGTATCGACAAAATGACGTTTTTTATAATATTTGCCATATCTTTTCCCCGTGTATTGGCAACATGTAATACAAATTCATGGGATATGTTATCTTTTTCAAAATCTTCATAATTTTCGAAATCGATAGTAGTGGCAATTAAACTCATAGCGCATACTTTAATTCCGCAATGCCTAGCTGCGATGACTTCTGGAATTGTACTCATTCCTATATTTATTTAAAAAAATTAAAGGTTTTGAAGTATCTAAATATATACACCTTAAAGCATGATTTTCTAAAATATTTATGTTAACCCTAATAATTGAGCCATATATACAGGTAATAAACTGTATAACCTACAGCGTCTCCTCCTACACGGTAAATCATTTTGCTCTCTGCTTTAGTCTCATAACTTGGCCCTGTCAGCATATAGTATACTCCCTCCTGGTGACAAGATTTAAGATTTAGTTTCTCAAAGATCGAACCACACAAATGTCTTAGATCTTTGTCATAGGCATTATTTAAATCAGGAAACCGCGTACCCCAGCTTGAATATTGTCATAATTTATTTAATAATTTCAATATTATATTATATTTTTATTTTATAGATACAATATTATATATGTCATAACGGGATATAGAATCCATTGTGATTCAGAATCATGATTTCTAAATCATTTACTCAGGGTAATTTTTAAATTTAAAAAGTTTTCATTTGGCCGAAAATGCATTTCACATGTATAGAGTATTTATACTGTGGATTTCAAATAATACTGCCATGAAATTTAGGAGTGCCCTCAATTTATATTAATTTTTATTGGTTTTTTAAAATATAAATTAAAAAATTCACAAAGATTTATGGAAAAAATATTTTGAAAATTTATAGGGTAAGTACTCTATACATCCTGATGTTTTTGGTAAAGTACGATTTCAAAAATCGATCACCTTCATAGCAAATTATTTAAAATCGAGAGATCACGAATGCCCAAGCATTCCTTTCCTTATCCGAATACGACACATACAATAAAACAAGCATTCTACAAAAATTTGAATTTAAATCATTTTGTTAAATAAAAGCTCTTCTACACAAAATAAACTACATAACAAAAGCGGTTTAAAGATTGATTGATCATATCGAATGAGAGGAGAATGCTATTTCGTATCCATCTATTCCTATCAATCGATATACTACAAAAAACAGATTGTTGTAAATATTGTAGATAAAGTAAAATCATGGAAGACCTCTCTTCCAATCCCTAATTTGATACAATTTTTTTTAAATTTAAACATTCCTTTATTACCCTTCATTTACAGTTAGTACGAATTCGCGCCACAAATTCGCACTATCTATGAATGCAGGGTTACAAAAATATAATTCTACTTGGGATCATTTATTCCTATCAATGGATTGTTTCCGGTAGTATTAATGTGATCCTTGATTACCATGATATCCCCTGATTTGAAAGATGGATTGACTCCTCCTGATAAATTTGTTATAAAAATTGTTTCGACCCCTAATAATTTCATTATTCGGACTGGCATTATCACCTGCGTGTAAATATATGTAACATACCGAATATATCAAATGTTATAATGTACATTGCAATTGTTAAATTTAGTACTACTCAATTTACAAGTGAAATGGATAATAATGAGCGAAAGAAAAAATCTTGTTTTGGAGGCAAAGAGAGGGAATTTCTAAAATATTTTATATTTCATCTACCATTTTTGGCAAGAAAAATTGATACCCACCCAAATGGAGGAAAAAAATTTTTTCTCTCTTGTCCACTCACCCTATCAAGTAATTTAAAATTGAGATATAAATCATTAAATCCTGTTTATATAATAAATTGTATTTAATTTAGATAATTTCGATATAAATTCTAAACAGTTTTAGATATACTATTTTATCGCACTAATTTACAACGTACTAACCTTCCACAGAGGATGACCTTCATAAAAATGGTAGCGTCCTTGAAAACATATAACCTTTTGATTTTCGATATCACCTATAGTTATGAAATTGCAATGCCCTTCCACTATAAATTATAATTTAGTTAAATATATTTTAGTATATGCGTATTCATAGGCGTAGCGGGGCGGAAGGGGGGGGGGTAAGGGGGAAAGAAGAAATTTCCCCTCTGAAATTTGCCTGTTCTCGTTATAAGCTAATAAAAGTTTTTTCCCCGTACACATCTCCCTCCCAAAAAAAATCTACAATATATCACTATAAACAATAATTCTAATGAAAAATAAGTAAAAGTTAACAATTTTTTAAAATAACGACTATAATTCAAAATATTTCGAAAAAAAATAAACCTAATGACCTCCAATAAAATGGGGAAACATCACACCTAATTGTGTCACCCCCTCCCTCCCCCCTAGTAAAATCATGGCTACACCTAAGTGCGTGTTTGGCCTATTCAAAAACGAATCGAATATTTGATCGTTTCGAATAATTTGTGATTCAAATAAAACAAATAATAATGAATAATTATTTGTAGTCGAATCGAATTATTTTGATAATTTAGTCGAATATTTGAATAATTTGATCGAATATTTAAATTATTCGGAATAATAAATATGTTTTTATAATAAAGTCATTTTATTTCTTTTGATAACCTATAAATATAATGAGTGATGTGAATAACAAAGTATACATAACTGCTTGTGAAATGCTTTTCTTAGTTGAAACTTATTTGCTGTCATGGATCTCATGTCTTACAAACAAAGAAGAATCAATAAGAAAAACTTTCTACCTAAAAAATTGGTTTGGCATTATAAATAAAATTAATTTGCATTTTAATTTCACTAATAACTTGATCGCATGTTATCTATATTCAGACTATTATAATAATTTCTCTGTTACTTAGATAATATGCGATAAGATATATTAGAAATCTGTAAATATTTCATAATATTTTTAAAAAAGGAATTATTCGAATAGATTACAAATAGTGTACTTTATTATTCTTACTAATCTAGTGTTGTTAAAAGGCTCTATCCCATTTTTAAAAATGAATTCAATATTTTAGCCAAAAAAATATTGCTCAAGCCTCAAGATTTCGCTAATAGATGTACAAATCTTTTTTCCATCTATGAGTAAAATTATAAGGCTTGCATAATATTTTTAGAGGTAAAATATTGAGTTAGCCGTTTTTAAAGATCAGCTCAAATCGAACCGTTTAACAACACTACACTAATAGAATAATTTACTATTCGATTCGTATTCGTTCAAAATAGGCTTAGTGCGTATTCAATAAATTAATCAGTATCTATCTTACCTTTATATATAGTAAATATAATATAGTATAATTTGATTAGACTAAATATGAACAGTTTCAGTTTACACTTCCGAAAAAAAAGGAATAGAAAAGATAAAATAAAAAAGTCCTTCGCTAATTCTTAGCCGTGATAAAAAAAAAATTCAGCCTAAAACAAATAAATATATTTTATACATGCTGAGTTTTCTCCTCTATAGCAATTGTTTCAAATTCCTTTATTTTTCATAATAATTATTAAATGAACAGCTAACCTTGACTCAGAGGCAAATCTGGAATGTCGGAATAAGGTATTGCTATACTATTCTGAATTATGTCGGAGAGGTGATGCAACCCAGAACCGCAAATTATCCCATATCTAAGTTGATATTTGAAGCCTTTAGTTTCCATTTTCTGCCTAATTATATTGGCTGTATTTGTAGCTTTTGAAAGGATCAAAACCTTTTCCTTTTCCAAATCGTGTTCCGCATCCATAATATAGGGGATTTAACGGCTTAATTGAAGTAAGGAAAGATTAGTTTATTAGATTCATATTTTTAAATAATAATCATTTTAATAAAATATGATTAATAAATTTCGATTTTTTAATTTATAAAGTTTATAACAAAACTATTTACTTAAATTGCTGTGATTTGACTACCCAAAATATATATAACAAACTTATAATAACTTATAAAGTATGTCAGTTATGAATAAAAATATTTAAAATAAAATTGTTAATTATGAGATGTTTGTTTTCGGTATTGGTATGATTAATTTCACAATGATTATGAATGAAATATGATCGAATTTTCCATAAATTTAACCTCAACCTCATTATGAGATGTATAATAATATATTTTGATGTATTGTATAAAGACTATATCACTTACTGAATAAATAGTAATTCAAATAATTTAATGTGAAATTTTTAATTCTCTAGAAATATAAATATATCAACAATGATCAATACAAAACAATTTAAAAATTTAATTTATATATAAAAATATTTATAACTTTATTTAGCTAATTATTTATATAATACAATATAATTAATATTTGTATATATATTTATATACATATAAAAAAATAAATAAATATAGTATTGGAGGATATGTTTGTGACGGTGTTAAAAAAAAAATAAAAAAAAATATATTGAGGTTAGGAAGGATAATCTTGTGGGGAGAGACTGCTTATGAAGCTAATATAATTAGCCTTGTGTATTGCGATGGAGAGCCTTTGCCTTAAGAAGAAGCCCTCGCGGGGTTCACCGGTTAGTTGACGAATGTGGGAGCCGAGTTCCTTGAAAAAGGATAAGGCATATTTCCCAAAAGTAGTAAGGGTAGTGGAAATAATAATAAAATTTTTCATGTGGCAAAAATTATTTACAATATTATATATAAGAATTTTGGCTCTAAACATTTAACGGAAATTTGATATATTATTATTTATAATTATAATAACCAAAAAATTACAACAAAAATGAATAATATTGAGAAATAGGAATCTACATGAGTACTAAGATACCTTTCTTCAATCGAATTAGAATAATATTTTTTAAAATACAAACTAATTTTTTTTTATCATTTTCCTCATTAATTTTAAAGTAAATGAATTTTAATGATTCATTTCAAATAGGATTTAACCATTTTCTTTTCAAAAGGATTTAACCAGTTCCTTATTATACTTTTTTAAAAAAAAGAAGATATTGTAAATAATAAAATCGAAAAATATAATGTTGATTTATAGTTTGCTACAAATTAGTTTAAATTTTATTCATATTGGAAAGAATATTTTTGAAGTGAGGTAAAAAAAACGATAACATTAAATTTAAATTTTTAAAAGAACTATTTATTAATATTATTTTTCCCTTTCGCCTAATTCAAGCAGCAGGAATCTTTTAGAAAGGTCCGAGAAGTGTTATTCTCAGTTTGTCCAAAAATGAATATTCCGATTTCTTAAATCGTAGGTTTATTTTTATCATTTTGATATAGGTCGTCGTTATAATTTGGTTATTTATATGATTTACGATTTTATTTTATTTATAATTAACTATGATATTTTTTTAACCCTTGAGTGGTATATAATTTATGGGTGTGGGTTTTGTTCTTCGCTCAACCCTTTTCTAATCAGCTCACAGGTGTTTAAGTAATAGTCCTAGGGCTATCATGCGTACAAGTACGCTTGCCCACAAACGTTTAGAAGACCCCTCATATTATAAATTCCCCCATTTTAGAATTGTCCAATTAGATGAAAATGAGGAATAACTAGAGTAGCTCTGTTGAATCTTCAATATTAGAGGGCAATTACGCCTCATAAATCTCAAGACAACATTTACGAATTTAATTTAATACAACATACAAGTTTATTTATTGAATTAAAAATAAAATAGAAGATAATAAACATACATTTATTGGAGTGACAAATATACCTATTCCTCAGCTCCGTATAATAATGTTAGTTAACATTTCTTAATATAGAAATGGTACCTCTGCAGGTCTCTGTTTTATGTAAAAAATATCAAATCAAATATGAATAAATTTAATATAACAATTAATACAAATATTTAATCTAGAAGTAAAATTCTTTTTTTTTAGTAAACATTTCGTTTCATAGTATATTGAAAAAAAAACAACTAAAGTACCTCCTTTAGAAAAGTAATGCAAATTAAAATATACACAAAGGTTTGGCAAATTATTATATAATTGAATAGTAAGGTAAACTTAAATATTGATCTATTAATGAGCCTGTTGTTTTGTTTTTTTTATTGAATATTAAAGTATTTTTCGATATGAATAAATTTAATATAATATAATACAAATATTTAATTTAAAAGTAATTGCCAAATAAAAAAAACAATCCTAGCAAAATACAGTGTTGTGATGATTTAATGAAACATATTGTCGATTAAATTAAAACCCATCCATTAATCCAAAGTTAAAAGACCGATCAATTATATAAATTTTTTACCGGTGGTTTTTATTATTTTTTTTATTATGACGTTGCATTTTTGTTAAATCATTTCAGCAGTTTGTTCATTTTAAGGAGTGTTTAAATTCTTTTACCACTAAATCCACACGGAAACTCTACATATGTAAAACCTTCAGTTCATCTTTCATAAAATATTTGTTTGCAATTTTTGTACTATTCCTTTAACAAACTATTCATTTTTTGTAATTTTTGCAAACATTTTTGATCTCAATTAAAATATTACCAGCATTATTTTGAGCATCTTACATTTACACCCTGTCTGTGTATCTCTGCATTGAAATTTAGATATTGATTGGTTTTATTTTATCTCGATTATTCTTTTCTAAGTAATTTATGGAATATCGTTATTTAATTTCTTATTTCGTGAAAACCACTATTGTAGCATTCTGTTTAGCAATATTGAATTTACAATTATCTGCCTACGTCTTTAACTTTTTAAAGTATCTAGTTTTTATCATTTATTGCTCTTAGAACTTTGTCGTTAAATCGCCAACTTTGTTTGAGTCTAACTCTCCCTTATTGATTCTCAACTTCTCGAACTAGTCTAGATTTCTTTATTGCCTCTAACTCTTTGTTGGTATCGATTGTCTCATTGGTTTACTTGCAAGCGTCGTTATGAAATTTTGCTTAGCAGTACATATGTGGGAAAATTTATAGAATACAAATAAAATAGTAAAAATAAATTAACTACTAATTCTTTATTAATTAATATAAATTGTAATTACATAATAATAATTAAAATAAAAAAACAAAATAATAAAAGAAAAATTAAAAGATTAAAAATTATGTTCGAAAATTATTAATATTTAACAAGAAAAATATTCTCGATTATATATATTTTTCTATAATATTCATTTACAAAATGTTTAAAAAACAAACTGAAATAATCTTGAACTTTATTTAATCTGAATAATAAATCTTTTTTATTCACTTTTCTTTAACTCATTTGAATATTACAACACCCTTCCACTTAGCTTAGACCCCACATTCTGCGAAAGACCAATAGTCGTGCATGTATTCGATTACTTCTTCTTACCGGTAGATTCTGTTTCTTGCCTTCGTCTGGTATTGATTGCATGCTTTTAAACGATTCACGATTGCTAGTCAATGATTATCGATACCCCATCTTAAATTCTCCTGTTAAATTATTTTAATCTTTTGCTTGTTTCTAACGTTCTTCTCTTGTAACTAATGATAAGTGCTTTATCTCGGTCAACGATAGGCGATGCTTGATCTGCGATTAACGATTGTTTTCACGAATTCTTGTTTCTAAGATCATCGATTTTGTATCCTATACTAAAGTTTTGATAAGCAATTGGCGATAATTTATCAACGATTAACGATTGCATCCTGGTCTTGACCACTTGTTCTACCTAGTCGCTTGTCAAGATATCCAATTTGCCTTGAGATCACTTATACGATAATAATTTCTTGTATCTTTTGATCCAAAATAAAAATCCGATCTCTAATTGAGCTCGATTGTGGCATATATTTTCTAATGACGAAAGCCGTTTCTCTTTATGAAGATTTTGGTTAATCAACAACCTGATATTTTGCTAAATATTATCAACTTAAATAACAGTTAAACGTATATCTTTAATAAAAATTTATAACGAATTTCTTTTAGCTACATCGATCAATCTCTTGTGACGAATTCCTTTTAACTAAACGACTAATTCTATTCTTTTTCGAATTACGGCCATTGATATTTATACCATTGTTTTATTGCTCTCATTCTTTATCTTAGAGTCGGTCATTTCATATATCCCCTTCCCCCTTTATTTAGTTCAGAGTTAATTAGACTGATTTGTGGTAATTGCCCTGGCCCACTCTCCAACCATTGTCAAATAAAGAAAAGTTAATTAAACTGAATATGCCCATAGAACATAATGTTTCGGTAACAAATGTTGTAGTTGAGAATTAACGAGAATACAAATAAATAGTATAAATAAATTAACTACTGATACTTTATTAATTAATATAAATTGTAATTACATAATCATAACTAAAATATAAAAATTAAAATTATATAAAAAAATTAAAAGATTAAAAATTATGTTAGCAAATTCATAATAATTATTATTTTCAAGTAAAATATCCTCGATTATATAGACTTTTCTATAATACTCATTTACATAACGTTTAAAAAACAAACTGAAATAATCTTGAACTTTATTTAATCTGAATAATAAATCTTTTTTATTCATTATTCTTTAACTCATTTGAATATTACAACAGCACATTTCTCGTTTAATTTCTAAACTTTTAATCTTTATATATACTTCCGCGGATTTTATTTTGACCCCTTTACCATTCCTCCATGCAACTAAGATACCAAGCCATGTTTGGAAACATATTCCTTTGGGATCACTTTCACGTTTTTAACTCAGCATGTTTAATATTTTACCATCAGAATGTAGTCAATCGTGCCATAGCGGTGGTACCTTACCAGCTTTTCTCTTTATTTTTAAACATCGTGTTGCACACATGATACACAAATATTT